TGTGGAGGATCGATGCCACCTCCACAAACCCGTCATCCCACCCTGGCATCACCCCGATCCCAGCCCCGAACCCCCTGAGCATCCTCGAAACACCCTGAGCCGACCCCAAACCCCTCTCCGAAACCTCTGACCCTCCCCCAGATCCCCCAGTGCCCTGGAGCTCCAGATCTGAGCCCCAAACCTCCTAATCTCTCCCCAGACTCCCCTGATCCCAGCCCCAAACCCCTCAAGCTCCTCCAGAACCCCCCAAACTGCCCTGTACCCACCTGCTGAGACGAGGACGACGGCGGTGAAGAGCCCCAGCTCCTCGTCGCTGAGCTCCAGGGCACTGAGCTTCTCGCTGAAGTCGAACATGGCCCCCAGCAGGTCTCCCATGCCCATGGCCCAGAGCTCCTCCAGCCCGTACCGCGTGCGGCTCATGAACGTCACCGTCTGCTCCTTCACGTCGAACAGCGACGCGAAACGCACCATCAGCACCTGCGGGCGAGGGACAGCATGGGCTACCAGTGCAGGATGGGGGCACCAGGCACTGGGCTCCATGCCACAGCTCCCAAAGGTTGGGCACTCCAATCCCATGGGGCACCAGGAATTTCCATGGGCACTGGGCTCCATGCCACAGCTCCCAAAGGTTGGGCACTCCAATCCCATGGGGCACCAGGAATTTCCATGGGCACTGGGCTCCATGCCACAGCTCCCAAAGGTTGGGCACTCCAATCCCATGGGGCACCAGGAATTTCCATGGGCACTGGGCTCCATGCCATGGCTCCCAAAGGTTGGGCACTGCAGTGCCATGGGGCACCAGGAATTTCCACGGGCACTGGGCTCCATGCCACAGCTCCCAAAGGTTGAGCACTCCAGTGCCATGGGGCACTGGGCAATATTGTGGGGCTTCATGCTAGTCCATGGGGCACCATGCCATGCCATGGGCCACTAGGCAATGCCATGGGCACTGTGGGGCACCGTGCAATGCCATGGTTCTGTCCGTGACTCCTAAATGTGGGGCACCATGCCATGAGGCATCACAGCAGTGCCATGCTCCATGCCATGGCTCATGTATGTGGGGCACTGCAATGCCATGGGGCTCCATGCCATGCTCTGGGGCACTGTGCCCATACCCTCAGGCACTGTGCCCATCCCCTGGCACTCCACACAAGTCCATGGAGCACCATGCAATGCCACGGGACACTGTGCCAGTCTGTGGGGCACTGCGTGATGCTGTGTGCCACCCTGTGAGTCTTTGGGATCTCATGCAATGCCATGGGACACTGTGCCAGTCTATGGGGCACTGCACAATGCTGTGTGCCATCCTGTCAGCCTTTGGGGCCTAATGCAATGCTATGGGGCACTGTGTGATGCTGTGTGCCACCCTGTGAGTCTTTGGAGCCTAATGCAATGCCATGGGACACTGTGCCAGTCTGTGGGGCACTGCACGATGCTGTGCCACCCTGTGAGTCTTTGGGGTCCCATGCAATGCCACGGGGCACTGTGCCAGTCTGTGGGGCACTGCACGATGCTGTGCCACCCTGTGAGTCTTTGGGGTCTCATGCAGTGCCACGGGGCACTGTGCCCACCACTGAGCCCTCTCCACCCCAAGCACGTACCTCAAAGGTGCCAGCCTTGAGCAGGGTGACTTGGTCGTGCTGGGAAAGCGCCTGGAAGCCGGGAATGTGCTTGGCGAACTCGACGACCTCGCGGACGGCGGGGGTGAAGCTGAGCGAGAAATCCTCCCATATCTCCTGCACGGAGCGCCCGCTGCGGCCGGGCACGTGGCTGTTCATGGGGCACGCCTGCGGGCACCGGGGGGTCAGCGGGCACCGGGG